ACAAAATGTAAAGTTCATACATTGCTATTATCTGTAGAATTAAGAATTCTAGAATTCTGAACTTTACATACATGTAAAGTTGCTTATTCACACTCATCTTCATCCTCACCCCCACATTCACCCCTAGAATTCCAACCAAAATTAGCTTGGGGTACTGCGAGTCGGGAAGCAAAACATTTTTGGAAAACTTTCAAAAATGTTTTTGCTTCTCGACTGGCAGTACCTCAAGCTAATTTTGGTGCATACATATGCAATCGACTATCCTCTATCCGAAAATATAGTTTTCATCGGCTCTAGTTCTATTTAAAAATTTTACCTAATTGTAATCACGCAGCCCTCTAAAAAAATCAAAAAACATACTTCAAATTAATGCGCATTAATTTACAAATACTGAAATTAATTTTAGTTCATTTTTTGTGAAAAAATTAATTTTCCTCATTACCGCGTTACACAAAGTCTCATATTAAATTAATGTACACGAATTTCGAGCTTCGAGTTAGTGTACATTAATTCGAAAACTCTACACTAATTTGAAAGTCAAATTAAGTTGAATTAATGTTTTTCCAAATTCCTTTAACTCAATTTAGTAATAAATCGATTTGCAGTAATCTGAAAGAAATTAATTCAACACTATTTTCAATTTAAGATTAATCTGAATTAATTTTTGCAGATATTACCGTTGTTAATCTCCTACCGAATTAATTTAAACGAATTTGCGATTTTAGAATAGTTTAAATTGATTTGGAAAAGCATTAATTTACAATAATTTTAATTTAAAAATTCGTTGGAACTAATTTAGATTCAAACCAATTTAAATCAATTTACACTTTTCTTATCTGTTCATGACGAAGGACGTTAGTTTTGCGTTTTGTTCTGACTGTATATTCTTCTATTGCAAATTATGAGTCATTCTGATAGTATTAGATTAAGAAGAACAAATATTGCAATTGTTGACAAATTAAATAATTCAGATAATTTAATGGTGTCAAATTTAAGTACCATTGACGATCAACTTGGTAATACCGTGAAGTATACAGTGTCGTCTCCTCAATTTCTTGATTCACTTCAACAATCGCTAGCCTCTGGCCCTTTCATTGCAGAATTATGTAAACAAATCACGTCGTCACCCGTTTTCGTTGATTTGATAACATCGATGGTATCTGTTACGTTAAAACAACAACAAGAAGAGATTTGTCGGCTACAAAAACGGTTGATGATTTTGATGAGACAGTAGCTGATGTCGAAGGCCAGGTGGATAAGCTGGAATTGAAATGCGACCAACTTGAACAGTATAACAAGCGAAAAAATCTAATCGTCCACGGAGTACCCGAGACACAAAATGAAAATACCGACAAAATAGCTATTGAAATAGCTAAAATTACCGGTCATATATTAGATGAAAAATTTATTTATTCCTCACATTGCTTACCATCTAAAATGATAAATGCTCCTCGACCGATTATTGTGAGTTTTTTACGATACTCCGATCGGCAGGCGATAATTGAAAATCAGAGAAAATTGCGTCAATATGAACGATATAAAACTACTTTTACTAATGAACATTTAAGTTCGCTGAATAATAATCTTTTTCATCATGCGAGACATAAGTTGATCAAACAGGGAGTATATACGAGAAATGGAAATGTTCTATATATTGATGCACATAAGAAAATACATTTATTAACATCGTACTCCATTATTGATCAGTTGGCGCTACGTATTTGACATCAAGTATACGGTTAGTTCATTGCTTTACTATTAGGATGGAAACTCCATACAAAATTTGACCTTCTAACTGCACTCTGCAATCAATCAAAACCTTCTTTCATAGCGATCACAGAGACTTGGCTTGATTCTACAATTCCAGACGCCGACATTTCTATTACCGGATATAACATTGAACGTTTAGATAGAGATCGAGAAGGAGGAGGATGTATGCTTTATTTTCAGGAGCATTTAACTATAAAACGATTAACACATCTAGAAAATAAACATTTTGAGTTATGTTTTTTGAGATATTAATTCCAAAAATCGGTCGAGTCTTCTTTTCAGTGATTTATCGTGCGCCAAGTATGGGCAATGATGAGACAGATGAATACATACAGTTTCTAACAGAAACAATTTACGACGTATTCCGAATCCAGAACTATGATGCTTTTCTTTTAATAGGTGATTTCAATGCGTACTGTGAGGGCTGGTGTGATACCCACCCCTCTACAGTTGCCGGAAAAAAGTTTTTTGACTTTTGTGAGACACTTAATTTCAAGCAATTAGTACGAGAGCCAACAAGAATGAGTAGTGACGGTCAAACAAACAGCGCTTGACCTTGTATTCACCAGTTCTAACACTATAATTGATAAAATAATAGTGGAGGATCGTTTGTGTACGAATTGTGATCATAAAATTGTTAAAATTTTAATTTCTTCAAATATCGACCGTTCTCCACCGATAACACGAAAAATTTATAATTATAATGCTACAGACTGGAATTACTTTCGCTATATCCTAGTACAAGTTCTTAACATAGTTGCTGTTCTTTCTTATAATTCTACTTGTATAAACGAAAAAGTGCTTATATTGGAATCTAGCATATTAAAGGCATTTGATAAGTGTGTTCCATCAAAAATTATTCGACTTTACTCGAATGATCAGCCATCGTTTACACAACATTTACGCTTTTTGCATAGAAAGAAAAACCGTCTATACCGAAAATGTAAAGACAATTCTTCTCTCTCTTCAATCGAGAGATATAGGAAAGCAAATAATGAATTTGAAAAAGCATGTACTGAGGAAAAACAAAAGTATTTAGAACGTATAAGAAAAACAAATGCGTCCAAAAAATCATGGTGGAAATTAGTTAAGTCTCTTTTAAAACAAACACAATCAGTTAACATATCGGTTTTAAAAAATAACAACGGTAATAATTGTTCGAATGATATAACAAAACCTAACATTTTAAATACTCACTTCGCTAACATCTGTACGATGGATAAAGCTGATTGTTTTAGGAATATTCCATCAGATACACTTATCTCAACGGCTCCTCCTCTGCAACTATTTACATTCTCTATTCAAGAGGTCGAAAAATGCGTAAGTATGATAAACCCAAACAAGGCTACTAAATACCGTTCCGTTTAGTTTCAGAAAATACAAAACAATAGGCACTCATAAGTATAAAGGAAGAGATCCAAGAAAAATTGGGGTTGTATATAGCATTAAATATCAAGATTGTGATAAGATCTCTCCATGCTATAGAAAATAATCATCAATTAATCTTGAATGAACCAACTGTTTTAGAATACGAAAGGAATGTCACAAGAAGACAATTAGGGGGGGGGGGGGGTCCGCCCACAAACTTCCCCTAAAANCCCCCCCCCCCCCCCCCCCCCCCCCCCCCCCCCCCCCCCCCCCCCCCCCCCCCCCCCCCCCCCCCCCCCCCCCCCCCCCCCCCCCCCCCCGCCGGGCCCGCCCCTCCCTCAAACATGCCCTTAAATTTGGCCAGTTTGTAGAGAACACTTTCGATGGTATGCCTATGCAACACAAAACTCGTTGGTCAAGTATTGACACAGTTATTAATTAATAAAGTTCAAAATGAATTGAAACTTTTAGTTTGAGAGGCATCTTTCAAAAAACCTTTCTAGTTTTCGATACAAATGTTACAAATGTTACACTCAATTGATTCTAGTGTAGTTTTATAGAGAATTGTTTGTAGATATAATTCCATACAAAAAAGTTGAAAAACGATATCTCTGACCGTTTTTCAATTACTAATTAGTTCTGGGTAGCACTAATTAGTGGCACTGCATTCTAGCGGAGAAAGTAAATTTTCCTAATATCAGAACAAATGCAAGCAAATCATGCGATATATCATTCGATAGAACTTTTCGAGCTCTATCAATCCTTCGAACCACTTTTTTAAATTTTTGCCTTTTTTTCTCTGAAAAATCCGTTTTAAATCATTTTTAGTGTCAGAAAAACTGATCAATTCTCAATTTTCTTAATCAGAACTCAAGTTCTATGCAATAAAATTATCATATTCGGAATCGGGACCGAAAACTGAGTCGACTGATATGTATCTCTACCCTATACGAGCACTTTTATGTTTTTCGACTTTTCACGCTGAAAAATCATAGAGATTTTCATCAAAAAATAAAAATGAACTAAAAATTTCGAAATACACATAGTCGACTCAGTTTTCTTTCTTATTTTCTTTCTTTTATATTTATTGACAACAAACAAAAAGGAATAATAAAAGATGTTAAAAGCGATGAAAACGATGAAAACGATGAAAGCGATGAAAACGATGAAAGCGATGAAAGCGATGAAAACGATGAAAGCGATGAAAAGTACGAGAACGATGAAAAGTATGAAAGCAATGAAAACGATGAAAAGTATGAAAGCGATGAAGAGTAGAATAGTATGAGACGAAAACGAATACGCTCAAGTGTGAGGATCAGTCGACTTTTAACTTATACTTACACTATAATAATATATTCATACAATACATTTCAGCTTACACATTTTATGTGTATTGTAACAGCTCTGCCTTAGTTTATTGAACAAGGATAGGATTTGATAGTAATATACGAAAACCAAAATGCTACCAAGACACTTGACTGCTTACACTTTTCACTTGTAATAAACTCGTGTAATGATTTTCTTATCCTCTACTAAAGCGAGTGTGCCTAAACTATCTGTTTTATTTTCTAGATCTTTTGAGTAAAGCGAATGAGCGTAATGCAAGAAACTTCCTCATCATTTTTGCGTTAGACTATACATCGTGTGTCCTATTTAGCAACGGGTCTGCCACGTATACCGATGAAAAATGGCATCCCATTAACATAATGTACAGCTTTAGTTTTTAAATCGGTCAATCTCTTCAGGGAAGAATTACAGTCAGCGCTAGAGCCCTGCCGGCTTAACCTGATTCTGATCCCGATCAGGATAGCTATCAGCAAAATCGCTACCCCGGCCGAAGCATGAGAACTAACGACCTCAGACTTGCGTAAATCGATAGAAAACAGTCTGGACTATACAGCGATACTACTTTCGACTTTACCTGTAAAACGTCCTGATTACCTCTAATAAAAACTATTAACTGTGCTTCTCTAGGTACACAGACATTAATCATATATCCGCCATATGTAACGTTATTAAATTTCCTACTACGAAAGTATTTCTCTGTTTCTTTCATTGACAAACAGAATCAATTTTCTTATAAAATTTGAACACAAAACAGGGGAAAAAACATGATAGCAGATAATGCTATAAATTGTTTATGCGTATGATTTACTGCTATTCGTACTTTGTTAGTTACAGAGACGACAATTATTATCCATTTCAAATTAGATGATCGGTACCTATTTCCTGAATAACTCGAGAATCAGAAGAGATAAAGATCCGCGGCTTTCATTTTTCTATAGCCAGCAGTTTACAGTGTCTTTTTATAAATACGAACCTCTTCTAAGAAGGTGATCTAAACCGGCATTTTTAAAATTCTGGAAAAGACTGTTGAAATCTTGAGTAGATAGTCAAAATTAAATTACAATATATGATTGAGAATTATCTACTATTTTTTGCATTTAACGACCTCATTCACTTTTTTTTCTTTTTCCTAGCGCCTTTTTTCCTTTTGTTATTTGGTGAATATTTACTCAATGATATACCAACAAAATGAATATTATCTGGTTTCTAGCTTTATTCATAAAAATACAAAAGAACATACGATTTTTCCGTGAAATCTTTATAATTTGATATTACGTACAAGAAAGGAAAAAATGGATGCCATATGCTTGATTCACCGACTATTCCGCGAACGACTCTTTCACAAATTTTTGAAAATTGATCTTAAGAAAACTGAACTTTAGAAAACTCACGAAACAACTGATGTTACTGATGATTACTACTGTTTATTAAAATTTTAATAACCTGCATGCCACATGCCATATGTGTATGGCTTAGAAGGTTTATCGTGCCATCACTCAGCTTCTCTCGTATGACTTAGTAAGTTACTAGGTGTTTGACTGACAATTGTAAATGTCGGATGTAAGTTATTTTTCTAAAGTGATTTTTAATTACATTCTACCTTAGGTTGTACGCTTATAGTTTTCTCTACATGCGAAAACCTTCGTCAGATGGTTGAAGTGTTGTGATAAGCCTCTATTTCAGTCTCTTAAGGGTACCTCTCCCCTTATTTTGGGCTTTCCATAGAATGCTGTGAAATAAAAACTAAAACTCACTTAGGCTTTATATTTTCAGAACTGACTGGATACTTGGTCCATTACTCTTCGTAATCTATATTGATGACATAGACAGTGAATTGTCTTCTGTGACTCATATGTTTGCGGATGATACACTGGTTTACTACAGTGACAAAGATCATGATTTAGTGAATGCTGCATTGAATACTGATTTAGATATTGTCTTTAATGATCCAACCGATGGCATTTACCTTTGAATTTTCCAAAATGTGTCACTATGAATTTTTCGAAAAAACCATCACCAAAACCGCTTACAATAAAAAATCGCGTTCTTCAACTAGTACATGCACATAAACATTTAGGCGTTTATCTTGAATTTGTCTTGGAAAGAATTTGTCTTGAATTGGCTTGGAAGAATCATATTTCCTTCATAGTTTCAAAATGTAATTCTACCTTGGGACTAACGGCAAATTTTCAAATACACTTTTATGGCTTCTGTGCTTGATCAGTTATACAAAACACTTATTTTCTGTTTTAAATTACGCCGATATCATTTATTCTTCGGAATCTGACACAGCATTAAAGCCTATCGTACATCTGCGATACCGTGCTGCTCATCTTGTTTCAGGTGCGTTACATTTGTCAAGTAAAGAAAAAGTTCTAGATATTTTAGGTTGGACGGATTTATTAAAAGTGCACCACATACATAAATTGATTCTTCTGCGAAATATTATTTCAGGAAATACTCCGCAACACCTGAATGTTCATCGTCAACGGAGAGATCCTGTTCCGTGTACTTTACGTAGACGTGCTACTTTAAACAAACAACCTTAGATTCTGCCCGTGCAAATAATTCATTCTTTCCTTATACTTTAAAAAAATGGGCAACACTTCCTGACCATATAAAATATACTTCTTTCAAAAAATTTTGTACGTACATTTCTATGTTTTACAATGTCTGATCACAAAATGAAATCTTCAAAAATCGAATATTTTACAAGTCGTCGTACTCACAAAATGCGTCGTACACAGTCAACAACAACATCCACTCCATTAATCAACAAAGAATCCATCAAAAATGATATTTTTGAAATTCTTTCAAATGATAATCATGTGAAAGAGCAAGTTCAAGCATTGCGAGGTAATTATGGACCAGAGGATGTTGTTAATATACTGCAAGATGCGGTTGTAAAACGGATTGAACAACGTTTAACTATTGTTGAACAAAAAACGGAAGAAATTGAGCAGCAGCTAGGTCAACTACAGTTTGACATGAATGCTCGTGAGCGAAATTCACGACAGAAAAATCTTCGTTTTCTTGGTATAAAAGATCAAGGTGATATTACTGTATCGATTGTGCAGGGGGCTGAGAAGATTGGCTTGGATATTAAAAAAGAAGATATTGAGTACTGTCATCCCTTGGGAAGGAATAAAAAAGATCTACATACACGACCAGTTATTGCTGCCTTTCATTCCCGATTCAAACTGAAATCGCTACTGGTGAAAAGAAAACAATTTAAGGAGGCAACTGGTATCACAATCTTTGAGGACCTAACAAAATCTGATAAGTGGTTGCTTGATCAAATTCGTGATGGTCTGAAAAAGGAGGACAAAAAGTATGCATTCACTCGGGGTGGAAGAGCCTGTTATAAAACAGAAAGTCAAGGTGTTGTGTTCATTAATTCATTTGGAGATATTGAAACATATCTGTATGGCTAATCAAGATTGTAGTGTTAAAAAAAGAATTGGTTAAGGTATTGACTATGGATTCTTTGATCCTTCTGTTTGTCTGGGTCATACTGATCTTTATCTTCTCTTCTGGGTAGTTGATATTTGTTAGTTCTGTTCCACTGTTCATAGTTTTTGTTTTTAGTAGACACGTGGTGAGAATCAGTGATCATATGATTTCAAATTCATTCTATCTTCTCTCTTCCTCCCATATATGTTGTGTTCGAAAACTGCAGTATGTGAATCACATACTGATTACGGTTAAAAATAAAATTTTTCATACTCGAAATCAGTCGCACAACGAAAAGATTTTGTTACTGAATGTG